GGGAATCAGATGTAACAAAAGGGGACAACTGATTTTCTACTTTTAAAACTATCAGAAAGCTCTGATAATTTTTGTTTCCTGGATGTAAAACCTCTTAAGCAGGGAGTCTGTCCCAGTGAACCATAGATCTCAGTGTCACAATGTGGTTTAGAAATTGTTCATCAGGTATTCTACAGTGTTAATCTATCATATAGAACCTGCTCTGGCACTTAATAATAGGAGATTTCTAGGCTATAGTTTATAGGACTTCTAAGATATGACAGAAGAAGAGTAACTGTTTATTCAAAAATATGTGTATCGCAACAATTTGACATTATCTTTGGTGCTGGAAATGGATAGACAGCACTGTGCTTTCAAGAATAAAGATTCTCCTTTTTGGTGCTGGGGATTGAACCCAGGGCCTTGTGCATGCAAGGCAAGCACTCTACCAACTGAGCTATATCCCCAGCCCGTGGTAGAAAGGTGTATTAAGAATTGTAATGCAAAAAAAAAAAAAATCAATAAGAGAGCTCATGTATAATGGCATAATTTGGCATGAACATACTTTATATACAGAGTTATGAAAAATTGTGCTGTGAATGGATAATTATGAATGTAATACATTCCACTATTGTCATGTATGAAAGAAATAAATTTAAAAAATAAAGTGCAAGAATACTAAAAACAAACAAACAAAAAAGAATAAAGATTCTCTGCCAAAAACAGGCAAATACAACATACCAAGGATATACAGACCAAACTATGGAAACAAATCAGGAAAGATAATGTGAACATACAGCTGAGGAAAGTTTCAAATTTGAACAAGAGTTAACTAGAAGGGGCTGGATGGTATTTCAGGTGGAGTGTATATCACCTAAGGTGATGTCAGATGCTAAAAAAGGTAAGCCTTATATTCCATTGACAATAAATAATTATTTTTATTCAAGTAGAATTTGAAGTAGATATTTCTGATGTACAGATATATCTCAGTTTGAGTTAATAATTTGAGGGTTTCAGGGTCTTTTCTATCTTATGCTGTCATAATCTTTCATACATAACTTCCAAACCACTGAACTTTTCTGCCTCCAGCTAGCAAGTTGAATAAACAACACAAAGAATCTCCTTCAGAAGTTGCAAGAGATTGCTTCTGTTCATACCTTATGGGCTGGAAATCAATCACATGGCCCCATCTAGTGCTTGATGGCTTAGAAGTTTAGTTGAACTGTATGTCAAGGAAGAAAAAGGAATAGATTTTCTGGTTAACTTTCTGCCACACATCCTATTTATTTTTTATTTGTTCTAATTAGTTATATATAACAGTAGAATGCATTTTGACACACCATACATAAATGGAGTATAAATTCGTATTTGTCTGGTTGTAAATGATATAAACATGTCCAATTCATTTCTACCTCCATTCTCCCTCCCCTCCCATCACTCCCCTCTGTCTATTCCAAAATGCCACTATTCTACCCCTACCCATATTGTGTATTAGCATCTGCATATCAAAGAAAACATTTGGCCTTTGGTTCTTTGGGATTGGCTTATTTCACTTAGCATGATATTTGCTAGTTCCATCCATTTACTGGCAAATGCCATAATTTCATTTTTTTCTTTAAAGCTAAGTATTATTTCATTGTGTATGTATACCACAATTTCTTTATCCATTCATCTGTTGAAGGGCACCTAGGTTTGTCCCATAGTTCAGCTATTGTGAATTGTGCTGCTGTAAACAGTGATGTGGCTGAGTCACTGTAGAATGCTGATTTTAAGTCCTTTGGGTATAATCTTAGGAGAGTGATGACTGGGTTAAAAGGTGGTTTCATTCCAAGTTTTCTTAGGAATCTCCATAGTGGTTGCACCAATTTGAAGACCCACCAGGAATGTTTGAGTGTACCTTTTCCCCCACATCCTGCTAACATTTATTGTTGCTTGTATTCTTGATGACTGCTTTTCTGACTGGAGTGAGATGGAATCTCAGTGTAGTTTTGATTTGCATTTCTCTAATTGCTAGAGATGTTGGAACATTTTTTTCATATATTTGTTGATCAATTGAATTTCTTCTTCTGTGAAGTGTCTGTTCAGTTTCTTTGCCCATTTTATTAATGGGGTTTTTTTTGCCATTAAGTTTTTTGAGTTCTTTATATATCATGGAGATTAATATACTATTTGAGGTGTACCACATCTTATTTCCTGGAATCTGCAAGTAATGCTCTTCTACTACTTTTAAGTGGAGATACTGTCAAAAAGTAAAGCTGGAGATTTAGCAATATTCAGATCTTGGCCTTATATATCATGCTACAGATTTTGGGACCCATTCTAAGAGCACTGGGGAGTCACTTGAGGAATTTTGATTTGGGAAACTTACGTTTACATTTAGAAAGATCATTCTAGAAGTTGTGTGTATGTGTGAGTGTATGTGTTTTGCTGGGGATGGAACTAGGGTTTCATGCATGCTGTGCAAATGTAGTACTATTTAACTATGTCCCCAAACCCTGGCAATATTTTTAAGTGGCAACAGAGTAATTAAAATTTCATTTCTGGAGATTCTCTGCCTGAATTTTAATTTTAGTTTTCCCATTTACCAAAATTGTATCTTGAGAAAGCTCTAACCATTAAAGTCTGTATTTTCTTTTCTTTTTTTTTTTTT